CCTGCTGGGTGCAGCATGTCCTGCTCTCCAGCTATCCCTGCTGGGTGCAGCGTGTCCCACTCTCTGGTTGTCCCTGCTGGGTGCAGCGTGTCCCACTCTCTGGTTTTCCCTGCTGGGTGCAGCATGTCCCAGTCTCCAGTTGTCCCTGCTGGGTGCAGCATGTCCCAGTCTCCGTTTTGGCAGGGCCCAGTGTGGTACCGCCCCACCAGGGTGCTGTTTCCTCTCCCACCCACCAGCCTGCAGCTGCACTTTTGAGAGTTCTCTTTTGACAGAGTTTGCTTCTGGGGTTTGTCTTATGTCTTAAAGCTCAGCTTCTCACTCATCCTTCATTATGCCTTTAATGGCAGCTTTCTCTCACAAGCTGCAGTGGTCAACTCCTTTTTCCAGGGCTGTTCTAGAGCACCTACCTGCACTCTTGGGCATCTCTGCTGGTGCCATCTTGCCTGTGGGAATCATTCTCTCATAGTCTCCTCACATCTCACAGTCACAGTTCTTGCAGTGTTAGTCTGCGTGTCACTGTCGGAGCTGCCCTGCTCAGGAGTGTAGCTATGCCAGAGACAGGGATAGCACAGCTTCAGGGTGGTGTGTTAAAGTGTTGATCTGCCCAGATTCTTTTGGCAAAGACCATATAGTTCATCTCTGGGCTGTAGACAGTTGGAGTAGTTATGCTCATTGTGTTTTGCAGGTGCCAGAGGACTCTGGCCTTCAGGGAGCAGCAGTTTGTGTGGTAGTGGAGTGGGTTGAATCTTGAGTGTGCCTTAGCTGGTACAGGTGGGATTCAGTATTTGCATTCTTTTCTATTAGCTGTGCAAAAGGAAAACCTTGGGGTTTCCCAAGCTGTTGGTGAACAGGTGACACACATGGCCTTGGAGGGCTGAAGCTGCACACTGACAAGCTGTTCCAAGAAAATGAGTTGGCTTTTGGCTCGGTTGGTGTCTAAGAGCAAAGTATCCTGCAACAGCTGAGTGAAGTGTTTCTCCTTGGCTAACCCATCTTTGGAACTGGATGAGCATTTGAGGTGACCTGGGGAGTAGGAAGGAGGAGCATGTGACTGGTGACTTCTCACAAGGACAGCAATAGTTTTCTCTTGGCGTGTTTGGTACCACAAGCAATGACAGCCACAACGTCCGACACCAGAACTGGTGTGGAGCAGGTGAGCACAAGGCCACAAAGCCCTTGATTTGCAGAAGAGTTTGTTGTCTCCTGACGGGATTGTTATTGCTGGCACTTGTTTTTTTGCAGATAACAAAGAAGAACCTGGTGACTGAAGGAACATCCGTCTTAACTGATGCAGCTTCTGTCGAGGACAGCTTTGGAGCCCCAGCCCTCTGAAAGCTCAGTGGAACCCCTGCCCCACAAGTGTGTATTTTTTACTCTGGTAGAAAGAGACTTTCACAAACAGAAATCCATTCAAAGTGGTTGACTTCTAGGAACTTCCCTCCAGAGTGATCTTCAGAGCTGATGTTCTTGGCAGTAAAGGTTAGCGACAAGACTTTTCCCTGTGCTTAAAAAAACCCCAAGAAAGTCTCATTCCAAAGACCCAAGTGCAGCACTTCTTCCAAAAGGCGTGGGGGTGAGACCTGGCCATGGGGTGAAGGAAGAACCCAGAGCAGACCCCAGACTATCTCCTTGTAGGGTCTGGGCTCAGCACTCCTCAGCTCACCCCTCCAACCCCACTGTGGCTTCATGCTGATGACAGGATGTGGCCCCTCCAGCCCTGCCGAGGTGCTGCTGGATCTCATGCCACTGCACCAGGCAGCTGCAGAGACAGGGAGGGTTTGGGGACACTCTTGCAAGCTTTCTCCTTTCAGATGAAAATTATTTCCACAGTGTTATTTAATAGGAAGTGCCCAGGAACCCCTGAGTGCCCCCTCGGGAACGGGAAATCAACGGAGGGAAGGAGCTTCGTACAGGCCCAACGTGCTTCAGAACAGACCTTTTTTTATTTTTACCATTTGTGTTAAAAGATTTCATTGGCTCCAGCAGGAGAGCTGGCACATTCCCAATGGTACTGGGAAGGTCCATCCTACGAGTGCCGTAGACAAGTCACAGTCATACAAGTCCCTTGTGCCTGCAGATCCCTGGGGATCCTTTCCATCTGCCTCGTGCTCTCCCAGCAGGAGAAAGGGTGACCTTGGGGACACAGTGGTGCTTGACATCCTACTGGAAGGAGCCATCCCGGAGGGAAACAGCACCAGGACTGGCTAGGCACTTGCTGAGACGTTGCTGAGCCACACAGGAGACCCCACAAACACACTTGGGACCCCCCCAAACAGATCTAGGACCCCCCAAATACATCTAGGACCCCCAAAACTCACGTGGGATCTTCCCAGGCCACATGTGGACCCCCAAAAGCCCTCCTAGGACCCCCCAACCTCCCCAGGCGGTGCCCAGGGCTGGAGCAGAGGGAATTCAGGGCCACGCTCTAGGAGGGAAGGAGTACCAGGACAGGGCCAGGCACTGCCAGTGGGTCAAGGGGGCATGATAGTGGGTAGGGGTCCCTAGGGGGCACTTGGAGGTCCCTGGAAGTCTCTGTAGGGCACGTGAGGTTCTCTGTGGGTCAGTTGGGGGTCACTTAGGGGTCTCTCTGGGAGGGTTTGGGTCACTGTGGAGCAGGATGTGGGTCTGGGGATCACTTGTGGGTCGCTGGCAGCTTCTGTGGAGCTCTTGGGGGTCCCTACAGCTCGCTTGGGGGTCTCTGTGGGGCACTTGAGGGTCTCTAAAGGTCCCCATAGGCACTTACGTGTTCCTATGCATCACTTGTGGGTCACTATAGGACACTTGGGTGGTTTGGAGGTTGCTGTGGGGCGCTTATGGGTCTCTGTGGGATGTGTTGGGGCATCTGTGGGGCGCTGGGGCGCCCCTGAAGGTCCCTGCGAGGCAGGCGGGTGTCCGTGGGGGTCCCAGTGTGTCACTGAGGGCGCTGCGGGACCCCCGTGTGTGTAAGCCCCGCCCCTTTATGCAAATGAACCCAGGCTGGCAGGGGTGGCGGCCACACCCTCTTGTGCATCCACACCTCCCTATGTGGCAAGCGTGTCACGTGGCAGTGAAGCCGCGCGCTGATTGATGAAGAGGGAAAGCGGCGGGGGGGCGGGAGGAGGCAGCGCGGAAGCTCCTGAAGCTCTCTGGAGCCCCCAGAAGTGGCGGGGTGCCTCCTCGAGTCCCTCCATCTCTCCGCCCGGCCGCTGCTTGCCCCCCTTTCCTCCCCTCCTCCCTCCCGGCCGCCGCACTCCGATTGGTGGCCGGCGTGAGGCGCGCGGCGCTCCCATTGGCTTAGCGCTTCGCGCGCCTCCGCAATGACGGCGCTGATTGGTCAGCCCCGCCGCGGCTCCCGGCTCTGTCCTGTCGCTAAGGGGAGCCGCGCGCTGATTGGCTGAGCAGTGAAAGCCCGCGAAGGCGCCCCTCTGGCAGGGGGCGGGGCGCGCTGAGGCGAGCGTCGCGCTGATTGGTCGCAGGCGGGAAAGGGGCGGGACGAAAGAGGAGATATAAGGAGCGGCGGGGGGGCCCGTCATGGTGCAGTCTGTCGGTGGCGGCGTGCGAGGCGTGGTGGCGATAATGGCGGTTTAATTAATTAGCAAATTTAATTAATTAAGGGAGGTGGTGGGGTTGACTAAGGGATTAATTAAGGCGCTAGTTGGCGCCGCGGACAGTTTTGAGGCGGTTTTGGGGCTAAGTCGGGGAAACCCGGAGGGGTTTGGGGCCGGTTTTGAGCCTATTTATTGTTTCAATTCGTTCCCTTAATTTATTCCCCTAAGAGAATAATTTAATTATTTAGTCGATTAATTAGTTTTAATTGCGGGTGTTTGGGGGAGCTTGGGGGTATTTACTAAGGGGGTTTAGGGCTAAAAACACCTTCTAAACTCTGTTTTTCCTTAAGGCAAATTGTCTCAAATTTTTTTATTTGGAGGTAACTTTTGCCCCAGTTTCTTTAATTCTGATTAAATTTGCTCCATTTAAACGCGGTTTCGGGGCTTTTTTGTCCCATTTTGGAGCCGATTTTCTCTTTTAAACATTTTATCAAAACTTCTACCCTAATTAAACCAACTAACCCTAAAACTTAAATACTTATTAATTAGTTAAAGTGCAATTATTTAAAGGACATTTTAGGTGCTTTTTGGTGCTTTCTTGAGGCATTTCAGTGCCCAAAGCACCTCTCCCCATAGGATTTTAATACCACTGCTTTAATTTATTAATATTAATTCAACATTTATTTAATTTTGGGGGATTTCTGTGGGAGTTTGAGACTTTTCAGAGGCGTTTTTGAAGTGTTTCAAGGGCAAAATCGCCTTTTCATCCTTCCCTTTCTTAAATAACTTAAATATTGCCTTAATTTATTTCTATTTATTCAGTCTTATTTTTATTTAAATTCCGAGGCTTTTTGAGGTGTTTTTGTGGCGTTTTGTGTCTTTCCCAAGGTATTTGGAGCCCAAAACGCTTTTAAAGCCTTTCTTAAATACCTCGATAATTTATATATCTTATTTATTACAGAAGTTTAGTGAATTATAGTAAATTTTATTACATTAGGGGTTTGAGGAGGTTTTGGAGCCTTTTGAGGCACCCTTGGTCCTTTTTGAGGCATTTTAGAACCAAAATCGCCTTTTCACGCTCCCCCGCTCTTTAAACAATTTAAATATTCATTTTTATTCAAATTTAGGTGGGGGTTTTAATTTCGAGGGCGCTTTGAGGCGTTGAGTTGCCCAAATCGCCATTTTTACGCTCCATTTTTAATTAATAACTAATTAATTTAATAACTTAAATATTGCTCTAAATTATTAGCATTTACTAAAATCCATCGCGTTTTTAATCAGTTTTGCTTAAATTTCGAGGGATTCGGGGCGGAGGTTTTGAGGCATTTTAGCTCCTAAACCGCCTTTTTACCCTCCGCTTTTTTTTGTTTTGTTTTGTTTTTTTTAACACCATTTGAACACTGCCTTAATCCGCTCGAATTTATTTTTATCCCGTTTCGGGAGGTTGTTTTTTGGGGGTGTTTTGTGGGTGGGTTTTTTTTGAGCGTTTTTAGTGCCGCTTTCCACCTCCCGCCATGTTCTACTACCCCGAGGTTCTGCGGCGCCACACGGGCTGTTTCGGCACCATCTGGTAGGGGGGGTTGGTTTTGAGGGGGGGGGGCGCTTTGGGCGGCTCCGCCCGGGGTTTTTGGGAGGTGTTGGGGTTGTTCCCGACTGTGTTTCCCGCCGTTCCCCACAGGTTGGCCGCCACCTGCAGTTCGCGGCTGCTGCGCCGGGAGTACCTGGGGGTGGATGTGCCGCACACCTGGTGAGGGGGGTCGGGGCCGCTCGCTGAGGGGGAACCCGCCAGCCCCCGCCAAGCATCCCAGTCCCGTCCCCGCCTCGCCCCATTGGCCCTTGTTCTTCCCCCCCGCCCAGCGCCTCCGTGGTGTCGTTCGTGGTCGGTCGCAGCGGGTGGGAGGTGCCGCCCCCGCCGGCCGGAGCTCCGCCCCCCCGGTGCTCGCTGTACCTGGCGGCGATGCTGCAGCTCGGGCTGGTCCGGGTGTACGTGCGGCAGTGCGGGACCCTGCTCGGTACGGGCTGGGGGGAGCTTGGGAGTCCTGAGCGGGAT